CCCCACGGAGAGCATTTTGCGTGTCCTTGGTGGTGGTCTCCTCTCCGTTTAGATTGCAAGGGCAGGGTCGTTCACACCGGGCTTTGTAGCCCAATGCGGTGCACACAGTAGGTGTTCCTTAATTCGGCTAAATGGAAATAAGGGTAAACGGTCCTAGCGGGAGGAAGGGTGGACAGATGGCCTTATTGACGCTCTGGGGAGAATGTCCCAGATGAGTGAGCATCTGAGCAAAGGTTAAGAAACAAAGGTTGAGAGTCCAGAATGTGCTGGGGACAGGGAAGAGTGGGGTGTATGCCTGGGCCAGAGGGCGTGGTGCCCCGGGTGGCCTCTCCAGACTTTGTCCTGAGGAGCTGAAAGGGTTTCAATCTGTGGGATCTGCTTTTAAAGGAGCTGGGTCCCCTGGATCAGTATGAGCTCAGTGGGAGGGACTGTGGGTCTGGTGGTGCAGGGGGACAAGAGGGGAAGAGGTGGAAGGGGACAGGGCTCCAGATGCTAAGTTGAGAACTGAGGGTACTGGTGGACTGAACGCATCTCTCTTTTCAGCAGGAGAGAATGGCAACTGAAAGTGGGTAGTCGGTTGGCTCCCAAGGTTGGGGGAACTTAGAACATACAAGGCAAAGATTTAGTGGTCACTGCTGTATTTCAGGAACAGCAGTGGGCCTACCCCTAGGTGCTCACAGGCCCCTGGGGGGTCGGACATGTGGGACTCCACCATCCATCTGTCTCTGGTCTTGGCCTGTGCAAAGGAGGGGCATGGGCTCTGGGCTCAGAGGAGAGTGTGGGAAGGCTTCACTCCCTTTTGTGCTAGTCCTTAAGCAATATGACACCCTTCAGGTAGAGAACTGTGCATACAAATTCCCAGATGGATGTCAAGGAACTCAGGGTCAGAGCCTTGAACCCAGCCTGTGACCTTCTTAAAGAGCAGAGTGAGCTGGCTGGCGCTTGGCTGTGGGGCTGCTCTATCTGGGCGGGCCATAGGGAGTTCCAGGGACTGCATTCACGTTCGTGGATCCAAGCTGACCTGAGGCCTGCTGTTCTCCTGAAGCCAAGCTGGTGACTGGAGGGGAGCAAGCCTGGAGCTGGCTGGATCCTGGAAGGAGGGCTCTTCTAGCAGAGCTGATTCTTTAGGCTACCATGCAGGGTAGCTGAGGGGATTAAAGAGTGACAGGTCTTAGAGAGATGTGCTGTTGTAAGGGTGAGGGGAACTTCTGGAGCTCAACAGGGTCTCCTTGGGAGGAACCATCCCCGTCGGGTACAGAGCTGCCCTGTGGATATTTTGAGCCTGAGGATGAGCCCAGTGGCTTTCTTAGGAGAAGGAGATTTGCGTGTATTTCCAGCAAACCTTGGCTCCCAGCTGCGCTCGCAGGACAGATCAGAGTGCCAGGCATAACAAGGCATCACACCAGCAAGTCATGGCCACAGGCTCCCTGGCAGTCCGATTGGTGGCCTGTAGTGTCCAACCAGCGCCTGGGATGGAGGGGTGGGGGCATGAGGTTCCAGGTGCCTGGAGTTTGCCCCCGTGGGATCTGGGGGACAGCGGAAACCCTAAACCAGATTCAGTTGGAAACTCACGATGCTGCTGTGGGAGAGTTTCAGGGTTAGTCCTAGCCTTGCCACCCTGGGCATGGGCTTCAGGCTGAGACGGTGTCTGCCCTGAGGTCACCTTTCATCCCCCCCACCATGGAGAGGGTCTCCCGCCCTTGGTGGGAGGAAGCCCTGCTGTCTCCATCCATGTTTGGAACTTTTCACGGACAGTGTTGATATGCCTGAGCTCCAATCAGATCTGTCTGAATCTGCTCCCCCAAATGGTTTTTTCATTCTCCTCCTGCCTTGCCTACTCACCTACTGGCCCTGGAATGCACTTGTCCTCTAACATGATGGTTTGCATTCTTGCAGGCCCAGCTCAGATGGTTTCTTCTGGAAGCCTTACCTGACCCCCAGCAAAGGCTTCCTGCTCAGCCCTCCAAAGAATCCCAGTTTTCTCCCCAGGCAGGACCCTTCTTCACATCTGCCCCTTGTGGTTGGGTGAGGGGTTGCATCCCTTCCTGCCTGTCCTGGCGTCCCTGGAGCCCAGAGCTCCATTCAGTTTGTACCTGCAGGGCCGGTGGCTACCCAGGGACTGGTGCTTAGTGAAATGATGAAAGCGGGCTTTACTCTAAATTGGTCCACCACCCTGTCCTGCTTTCCTAGGAAGCTCTCAGTGATTGAGGAAAGAAGTTGTGGGTGGGAATTCTGAGGAACAGGATGAATTCTTTAATTCTTTAACTGGGCGGTGCCCAGAGGTTACTGTAGAGCCAGCAAGAAACAGCAGGTGAGCTGCCCTGGGTGTGTACCTGTTGGGTCATAGGTCATGCTGGCGTCAGCATTCTTGTGAGAAAGTGACTGAAGCCGTCACGTTCTGGGCAAAAGCCCATCCCCACCCGATGTGAACCTTGTGCTCCTGGAGCATAGGGCTCAGGCTGACCCTGGGGCAGGGGATGGGGTTGGTCTGTGGGAGGCAGGCTGGTCACTGAGTGCCCCTCTGCCTTCCCTGGCTCTTTCCCAGGCCTGGTTCTGACTCCACACAGCCTCTCTTGGTCCCTGTGTGGACTTGGCCTTCCCTCCCCCACCCCTCCTCAAGAGAGAGAGAGGCAGGGTGGGAGATGCTGACCAGACATCTTGGGGACCTGGCTTGCCTTGCTGTTGGTTAGGCAGCAGTGGACTGCCCAAGCATCTGCCGGGTGCCTTGTCCTGTGCTGGAGGCTGTGGGGAAGCAGGCTGGTCCTTGGCTGCCTCTCTTGGTGAGAGCTCAGAGGTGTGGCCCTATCTAGAAGTGACTTAACATTCTATCGCAAGGATCTTGTCCTTGCCTATGTCGTGGACCCCCATGAGCATTGGTGAAACAGGATAATATTTTTATTTTATTTGAGTCGGGGGTCTCTATCACCCAAGCTGGAGTGCAAGTGGCCATCACAGCTCAGAGAAGCCTTGACTGCCTGAGCTCAGGTAATCCTTCCTCCTCAGCCTCCTGAGTAGCTGGGACTTCAGATGTGTACCACCACGCCCAGCTACTTTTTTTGTAGTGATGAGGTTTCCCTACGTTGCCTAGGTTGGTCTCGAATTCCCGGGCTCAAGCAGTCCTCTTGCCTTGGCCTCCCAAAGTGCTGGGATTACAGGCATGAACCAGCACCCCTGGCCAACATTTTTGAATACATGAAATAAATACAGAGGATTACAAAGCAAACCAATTATAGGGAAATACAGTCATCAAAAATTTAAATAAATTTGTGATATGATTGCATATGCTTCTGTATTAATGCATGAAGTAATATGTAAAGCTAGCAGCAGGTCTGATAGCCACCTTAATTTTGAAGTAGTGATGAGCAAAATGATATTTTGAGATATTGCCACAGCAATAATGTGATATGAAAATACCTTTGATTTTTTTGGTGACAGATTCATACACACTGCTGATACTCAGTGCCTAGTTACTTTTGTTAATAATTGAAGAATATATACACTTGAATTAGAGGTTAGAGAAAATAATGGTGTAATTTTTTCCCCATCTAAGTAGATGGAGCCCCTAAATTTTATGCATGAACCCCCTGGGGTCCATGGGCTTTAGCTAAGAACCCTTAAGTGACTGATGTGGGGACACAGGTTGTGTGGTGTCAAGAACAGGTTGCAGGGACAGTGGCATCATATCCTTCCTGGGAGCTGGCCCCTTCTTGTTCTCTGTGTTCTTGGCCCTGGGTTGCTTCCTGGGCCTTGGTGGCTGCCTGGGAGAGTGCTCGCCTGTGGGGGACGGAGGCTTGTTCTGCTGGTCTCTTGGAAGCTGAGGAGCTGTGGGTCCTTCCTGGGCACCGCCTGTACCTTGGGCTGTCTGCATACAGCATGCCTTATTTGCTCTGGGACTTGGGCATGATGTGGCTTTTGCCTTTTAAATACTGGGTGCCAGTTTACAAAAGTTCCAACAGAAACTGGCTAGTTTGGTGCTGCTTTTGCTGAATCTGCAGGAAGAAGTCATCCATGTTGGCCCTGGGCCTGATAATCTCTCTGGGGGTTTGGTTTATGCTATGAGAAATCAAAGGGCATGTCTCTATGAACTTTGATTCTGGGGGTGTCCTGTAATTAGTGACTAGCATGTCACCCTGGCTCAGGCTGAGCTACCCTTCTCATGTCTGGAGCCCAGGACAGGGTGGGTTCTGTTCTGTTCCAGGGGAGCCCCGTGGAGGAATACATATTCTTGTAGATTTTCTTCACAGTTTCAGGTGTTGCTTAAGGAGAAGGTGGCTTATCAGGTTTTCTGTCTTGACCTGAGCAGCTGGGACTTTGGGCCAGTAGACCCCAGTTGAGGTGTCCTGAGCGATTTAGGCCTCTCAGAAGGTTCTGGACAAGAGGAGGCCCAGCCAGTCTGAGAGCTTTACGGGTAGGGGGAGTGCCAGTTCAGGGGGAGCCAGCACCTGGCGTTTTTAAGGGGAAAGGGTGGACAGAGAGAGAGGGGAGGTATGGGACATGGGCAGGACTGGGCTCTGCAGGTCGGTGGCGAGGGCGGGCATTTTCAGTCATTGTGCTGTTGGGTGACTTCAGCTGAGGCCTTCCTATTTATTTATTTATATTATTTTATTATTTGTTTGTTTTTATTTTTTAGCTGAGGCCTTCTGGAGCAGTGCCTTTGTGTCATTGTTGCTGTGCTGTTGGGAATTCGTACAGCCAAGATTTCCCCCTGTGCCCCCTCCCCTCCATGGGCTTTCCTGGGTGAAGGGGCTGCAGGGGACACCTGTGCCTGGGTGCTGGCAGCTGCACTTTCAGTTCCTGACAGCGTGTCCAGCTGGGATGCAGACGTGTTTACAAGTTGTTGCTGAGTTCCTTCTGCCGTTTCATCCCGATGGCTGAGTGTGGCGGAAAAACAGTCCCGGCTTAGAGGAAGTCTTGGCCTCTGGTGTCCGCTCACCCTCTGGGGAGGGGAGGAAGAACATGTGTGGGGAGTGTGTGTGGGGTGGCACTTTAGCCCTGTCAGCATGGGTGGGGTCTTCCTGAGCTCTCGACCCTTCTTGGCAAGTCCGGTGTCCTGGCTGGCACCGTGGCCCTGGGTGGAGGGACACTGGTCATTTATTTAGGTCTGACCTCCCCCCCAGGGAGTGAACCAAGAAAGTGGATTCTCTGTGCTCCTCCCTCTCCTGCTGCCCCCCAATCTCTTATGCCCCCTCGTTAGTTAAGTCCACCTGGAGGGTCAGAGGCAGTATTTTTTTTTTTTGAGTTGGAGTCTCACTCTGTCGCCCAGGCTGGAGTGCAGTGGCCGCTCCCGGCCACCGCAGCCTCGACCTGCCGGGCTCCGGCGATCCTTCTGCCTCAGCCTTCCGAGTAGCCAGAATTACAGGCGTGCGCTACCACGCCCGGCTGATTTTTTGATTTATTGTAGAGAGGATGTCTCGCTGCCCAGGCGGGTCTCGAACCCGCGGGCTCAGGCAATCCACTCACCTCAGCCTCCCAAAGGCACGGGATTACAGGCTGAGCCACCGAGCCTGGCTTTTTTTTTCTTTCTTTTTTTTTGAGTTGGAGTCTCACTCCGTCGCCCAGACTGGAGTGCAGTGGCCGCTCCCGGCCCCCGCAGCCTCGACCTGCTGGGCTCCGGCGATCCTTCTGCCTCAGCCTTCCGAGTAGCTGGAACTACAGGCGCGTGCTACCACGCCTGGCTCATTTTTTATTTATTGTAGAGATGAGGTCTCGCCAGCAATCCACTCACCTCAGCCTCTCAAAGGCGCGGGATTACAGGCCAGAGGCAGTATTTACACCGAGGAGATTGAGTCGGTGGGCCTCTGGGCACAGAGCAGGGGAAAAGGTGGGCAGAGGGAGAGGAGAGGGATGAATCTGGGGGGCAAGTGGGGTGCCTCAGGCCAGTGCTAAGTGAGGGGGAGGAGGGTTGCAGGTTCAAAGACGGAAGTCAGGAAAGGCCATCCCGAGACGATTACGGTGATACCAATACGTGCAGAAGGTGGCGCTGCTTGTGTGTCCCTGGAGTGAGGATCCAGCCGCCAAGGGTCCTATGTGTGGCAAGAGGCCCACAGATCCAGCTCCTTCCTCTGCATCTGTCGGCCAAGAGCCTGGGGACAGCAGGGGAGGGGGTGGTTGATAAGCCGCCGTGGTCCTCAGGTGGCCCAGGGAGGGACTGCTTTTGCGGCACAGGCAGGTTGAGCCCAGGCTGGCCGGCCATGGGTCCCGTGGTAGGCTTGGCCCTTGGAGGTCCTGCTTGGGGGTCCCTCAGGGGTTCCTCGAGGGGTCCCACTTGGCCTTTGAGGGGGGTCCCGCGACAGACTCGTCCCTGGGGGCCTCAGCTGCAGGGGGTGCTAATAAGGCCTACGTGGTGGTGTACTCACCTGTGGGCTGTCCCTCCCCACCCCGACCTCCATGTCCACTCGCCGCCCCTGGACTGGAGAGCCCGTGGGGGCCTCCTCCTGCACACCTCTCCCCTGCCTGGCTCCTTCTCCACCCTGCCCTGACTCTGGTCTCCACACTTGGCTTCCAGCCTGCTCGCGGGACCGCCTTCCTTTCTCTGTTATTCATTCATTCAACAGACATTGACATACATCTGCTTTGTTCCTGCCCTCATGGAGCCTTCATTTCACCTGGAGGGGCAGCAAACAAACACGCAAATAAAGAAGTTAGGGAACCAGGCTCTGTGGCTCAGCCTCTAATCCCACGCCTTTGGGAGGCTGAGGTGAGTGGATTGCCTGAGCCCGCGGGTTCGAGACCTGCCTGGGCAACTTGGCGAGACCTCATCTCTACAATAAATAAAAAATTAGCTGGGGGTGGTAGTGCACGCCTGTAGTTCCAGCTACTTGGAAGGCTGAGGCGGAAGGATCGCCGGAGCCCAGCAGGTCGAGGCTGCGGTGGCCGGGAGCGGCCACTGCACTCCAGTCTGGGTGACAGGGTGAGACTCCAACTCAAAAAAAAAAAAAAAAAAAAAAAGAAGTTAGGGAGTGGTGAGTGCTTAGAGAGGGATGGTGGGTGCCAGAGGATGAGGCTTGGCTGGAGTGACCAAAGAGGCTGGGATAAGTAGGAGTGGGAGCTGTGCGTGGGATTTCCCCCAGAGGAGCAGTCTCCAGAGGGCACAGCAGCAGCCAGGAGGGGAGTGTGGGGGTGATTAGCGAAGAGCCAGGACACCCGTGCTGTAGCGCAGGACACCAAGGGCTGATGGGCCCGGGTCCCTCATGGCCTTTCAGGCTGGGGAGTAAATCCATACTTAGGAGGTACCCCAGGAAGCCAGCCAGGGAGGGTGAACGCGGGTCCTGCTGGGCTTTGGCGTTTCTCAAGAGATCTTTCGGCCGTGGGTGCAGAACAGGCTTGGGGAAACTGGGACCAAGAGAGCAGTTGAGATCTGCCTGCACTTGTCCACCATGGATATGCCACACTGGGAGGTGTGTGTTGATGGCAGAGCTGATGGCTTTGCTGATAGACTGAAGGCAAAATGAGAGAGGAGCCCGGGATGGCCCGAGCACCTGTCAGGGTGAGACAGGAAGAGTGGCTCTGGTTTAGGTCTGTATTGTGCCCGCTGAATCTGAGGGTGATGGAATCCGAGGGGTGGTCTGGGTGGCCAGTAAGTTTGTGAATCTGGAGAGAGGGGTCATTGGCCTGTGAGAGCAGGTGGACCTTAAAGCTGTGGGACTGGGTAGGCTCCGCTGAGCTGAGGGAATCCCGTTGGGGAAGAGGTCCTGGGCCGAGTAAGCTGGGCTTTAGCAAGAAGGTTGAACCAGGAGGGTGGCCTGGCTGGAGGGGAGCCCGGACAAGTTGCTGTTGGGTGGGCTTTCAGCAGAGTGTGACCCAGTGTCACAGGCACTGAGTGGCCTTCAAGAACTGGGGAGCCCACGGCAGAGCAGGAACATGGGATCGTGGAGGCCTGGCGGGCTGTGTGTGTGGGGATGGGGGTGTGCGGAGGCCTGGTGGGGTGGACTGTGGACAGCAAGGGTGGTTGCGGGGAGGTCACTGGGTGACTAGAGTTCTCCTGCAGCGGGGGAGAAATCTCAGGTGGGAGCAGCTGTGTGGCAGGGTGTGGGGCAGATGGGGGGTTGGATGGCGAGTTAAGTGAACAGGACAGCCGGTGGCGGAGTGGAGGCGGAGAGGTATCTCCTTGCCCCGTGGGGTCTGGCTTCACTCAGCCCCGGGGGAGGCTCACCACAGCGCTGTCCCTCGCAGGCCCTTCAGTCCTCCTTGAGGTCTGCACCTCCAGGGCTGCCGCTCTCAAGTCCATCTGGATATGGCTACTCCTCAGGCGCTCAGCTCGTTCTCACTGGCCTGTGCTCCGAGTGCCCTGTGGGGTGTGTGTGTGTGTGTGTGTGTGTGTTGGGGGTGGAACACCTCCAAGCCGGGTTGTGTGATTGTGCAGAAGGTGGGAACGCAGGTGCCTGGGTGGGGACCAGGTGTTGTCATGTGTTTCTCACCAGCGAACTGGATAGAGAAGCTCCTTGAGGGTGAGAATTGAGCGTCTCTCTAAACCACTGCGGGCTCCCTCCATGGTCCTCACCTGACCACCTGCCACACAGACCTAGCTCCTTCCTCTGGACCTGTAGGCCAGGCTCCTCGGGACAGCAAGGGAGGGTGCGGTTGACAAACCCCTGTGATCCTCGGGTGGCCCAGTGAGGGACTGTTTCTGGGTCACAGGCAGGCTGAGCTCGGGCTGGCTTGCCATGGGTCCCGCAGTAGGCTCGGGGTCCCTCGGGGGTTCTGCTTGACCCTTGGGGGTCCTGCGTCAGGCTCGGCCCTCGGGGGCCTCAGCCACAGGTGCTGCTAAAGAGACCTCCATGGTGGTGTGCTCATGTCTTTGCAGACCCTCATTTTGGCTGGGGAATGAAACCCTGAAGGTGCCGCTGGCACTCTTTGCCCTGAACCGTCGGCGCCTGTGTGAGCGGCTGCGAAAGAACCCTGCGGTGCAGGCCGGCTCTGTTGTGGTCCTGCAGGGCGGGGAGGAGACGCAGCGCTACTGCACCGACACTGGAGTCCTCTTCCGCCAGGTGAGGCCACCCTCAGCTCCACATCTCCGAGGGGGCCCTGGGTCTCTTGCAGGCTCCAGCTTTCCTCCAGCACCGGGTCTGTGGGAATCAGACCCAGCGTTCCAGGCATGCGGGAGAGACCTACCGGAGGCAGGGCAAGAGAGCCCACACTCGGGGAAGTAGCACCCATCCCAGCCATGGCGGAGGGTCAAGCTGTCGCCATCAGGGTCCAGGAAGATGATGTTCCGAGGCTTCATGGAGGAGGCGGTATTTGGAGGGGGTCCTGCAGGCCAGGGTGAATTCTGACAGGCGAGAGGATGGTGTGCACAGGAGTGGGCAGGCAGAGGGCAAGGCGGGCAGCTTTGTGTAGCTGATGAGCAGCAGAGCGTGGAGGTGGAGGTGGAGGTGGGACGGCTGAATTCCTGGACCAGATTCTGTCTGCAGCAAGGAGGTCAGGGAAGGGGCGTGGGAGGCGTGGCTCATTTGAGCAGGAGTTGGAGGCCCAGACCTTTGTCCCAGCTCCGCTGGTGCTCACCCTGTGACCTTCACTGGGCCTCCGTTTCTTCACCCGGAAGTGGCCCAGGGGTCCTTGAGGTCCTGGAACCCCGTGGGACAGCAGGCGGCCCAGCCACAGGAAACCAGTCTGAGCGTGCCCTTGGCTGAGAATCACTGAGAACGCGGACACTTGCCCTGGAGGACAGAAGCCCTGAGCTGGCCCCACTTTCGTTCAACTTAGCCTTGCACTCACTTTACAGAGGAGGAATCCAGGCCCAGAGGGAAAATGGCTTGCCAAGAGGTGGAGCTGGGATTCGAATCCCACTTTCTGGCTCTAAGTCCAGTGCTCTTTTCTCCCTGCTTCCTGTCTGACCTGAGCTGGGGCCTGACCACCGTGGGGGCTTCAGGACCTCCCTGGGGGCAGGCAGAGCCTAGGGTATACAGCCGTCCAGCGTCCAGAGTCCAGGCAGAGAGGGAGGTGGAAATGCGAAGGGGCACTGAGTGTGGGGAGGAGATGCCCAGGCTGGAGCACCCGCAGGGCAGAGGCAGGCTGAGGTCCGTGGCTGAGGGCGACTGTGGCATGATTTGCACTGAGAGCGCCTTCTGCCCAGAGGGTCCTGTCCCTTCGCCGCATCATTCTCACAGCCACAGCTTGTAGTCCCCTGGCTGCTGGAGACTCAGAGGGCTAAATGAACTTTTCTGAGACTAGTCTTGATGCTTCTTGAGGTTTAAATAATCCATGGTTTAAAAACCGATTTCCTAAATTCGGTTGTTGGCTCCCTGACGGATGCTATGCGAGGCTAATTTTAGCAGCAGTCCTCCTCCACTTCATACCTTTGTGACGTGCTTATAGCCCAGTGTTTATTGCTAAACACTGAAGTCATCAGCTGCCCCGGGGGTGGAGAGGGAAGTAAGAAGTCCTAAATGGAGGAATCCGTTTCGGTGCAGATATCCGGCCTGGGCGTCTAAATCCAGGGGGCGTCTTGCCTGCCTGCAAGTGGCGGAGAGGCATGGGCCAGGGCTGAGCTGGACCTGTGGTGCTGCTGGCGCTTGGGTCCCAGGGTGCCCTGTCGGGTCTTGGTGGTGTGGCTGGGGTTGCAGGTAGGCTCGGTCACATGTGTGGGACCTGCGGGGAGTACTGAAAGCAGGACCAGAGACCCCTACCAAGCCATGGAAGGGCGAGATGGGCAGCCTGCAGCTGGCATGGGGAGTGGGGTGCTGAGGGGAAGGTCTGTGTGGGGCTGGGGTCAGTTTGCAGGAAGAGGCGGCCCGGCTGGCTCTCTGGGGTTGTGGGAAGCAGGTGCCCAGTCCATGGCCCACCTCCTCTTTGTGCCTCATGTTCCACTGGCTCACGAGGGTCCTTGTTCCTGCTATAGGAGTCCTTCTTTCACTGGGCATTTGGTGTCACCGAACCAGGCTGTTACGGCGTCATCGATGTTGACACTGGGAAGTCGACCCTGTTTGTGCTCAGGCTTCCTGCCAGCTATGCCACCTGGATGGGAAAGTAAGGAGCCGTCTGGGCTGAGTTACTATGGCGCTAACTGCTGGGCGGGGCCGGGCAGGGCGGGGTGAGCAGGGATAGGAGTACCTCTGAGCAGGCGGAAACTGCTCCTGTGGGTGGCCAGGAGGGAAGAAGCAGTAGGAGGGAGGGCGGGTGGTCAGGCCTGCTCTCCTTGGGGCATCTGAGCCAGAGCTGCGGACACGGCCCTTGTTTGTTTGGAGGTATGGTTTGTTAGTCCTGAAACTGGGGATTCCCAGGTTTGTTAAATGCCTGAGGCATGGATGCCTGTGATAGGGTTTGTCTGGGTCAGGGAGAGTAGCCTGGGGGCCCCTCTTAAGGCCCCTTGCTGATATGCAGGGGCCCTATTTGCTGGCCGCCCTGGACGCAGATGCCGGCCTTGCCTCCCAGCTCATCTGTGAGATAGGGTGGAGGCTCTGGGCCTGCTTGCCTCCCACCTAGCGCCCCCAGCAGCAGCTCCCGCCTGCTCAGAGGCGCTGAGGCAGAAACTGTACTTAACCAGGGAGGTTTCAGGTGATCAGAGGAACCGCTCAATGCTCGCTGCCTCCCAGCATGTCATTTCTGCCTAGAGAGTGATTATTCTGGGGTAATGTCTAAATTGCAGCCTTCACGGCCTCGGTGCCCCCAAACGCTCATTACCAGGTGGGCCAGTGAGGCTGTGGCTGGTTTGAGCGACAAGGCCCCTGGCTGCTGCAGGGACTGGGCTCGGTGCCAAGGCCAGGGTCACAGCAGGGCTTCCCTGCTTCCTGCACTGCCCCTGCCCCTTGCCTGGCCTTCAGTGCACAGCCACCTCTGTGGGCCCTGGCATGTGCTCCTACTGTCTTGGGGCAAGGGGTTCAGGCTCACAAGCTGATGACCATTCTGCCCTGAGGCCGCTTGGCAGGATCCAGGTCTGGCCCTGGGCTTGGGTTTGGCTGTGAACACTCGGCCTTAAGCAGAACTGGCAGCAGGAGAGAAGACGGCTGTTTCTCCTGGGGGTGTTTTCCCGGCACAGCCCTTGGGAGGGAAGGCGGGGAATGGACACGCCCAGTTTTGCTGGCCTTTGGGGTGTGTAGCCGGGCTGCCTCCCCGACTACATGTTCCCATCCTGTTGTGATCCTGGTGGTCCACTTTCATCCCATTCCTGGTGGAGTCTGTATGATCGCATGAAGAGAGAGGGCCCAGCATGGCTCAGTGGCCCAAGCAGGGACCACAGCTGGTGTGGCTGGAGCTGTGATTGGAAGCTGAGCGTGCCCGTGGCTCAGCGGGGCCTCTGCAGAGGCCGTGGGACTGGCAAGTGGGTGTAGTTACTGGGGCTCCAGTTCCTTACCTGTGGAGCCACAGTGATGCTGCCCGGGAAACACCGCCAGGACAGTCGTTATAGTGCTGGGCATTGTGGTATGCTTGTGATGTGGACATGAGGCAGGGATGATGCCAGCAGGTGCACTGTAATGCCCAGAAGTGGCCACAGCAGTGTGTCTGGCCATTCACTGTTGGCAGGGTGACTCTATTTTTCCCTCCTGCTTGACCCTGGTCAGGACCACATGACCACCTCGATGCACGGATGTGGCAGTGTTACTGCGTGACTTCTGAGGCTGTACTGTAAAGCGCACTGTGTCTTCCACCTGGTCCTCTCCCAGGGGAAGCTTGCCCTTGGAAGCCACCGTGTGGAAGCCCCAACTCCCGCATGGGATAGCCAGCACCAGCCGCTAGCGAGAAGGAGCCTTCAGGCAACTCCCAGCCCCAGCCTTTGACCTGTGAAGGACAGGTCGTCATGGAGCAAAGATGAGCCCTCTCTGGGTTCTGACTGAATTCCCAGCCTTCAGAGTCCATGAGCATGATAAGTGGCTTTGTATTCCACTAAGTGTTGGAATCGTTCTTAGCCAACGCTAGTAACTGGTAACGTGGCAAAGTTTCCATCTGCTTCTCCATAAGAGGGCTCTCCCAGAATCCTTTGTTCACCTGAGGTGGGCTCATGAGTGGAGCTGTGGCCTCAGCCCTTTCTGTGAGTGGCATGTCTTGGGAGTAGCTGGGGCCCCTGTGCCGAGTGGCCATTGGCTCTGGGTGGCACCTACGGTTTTGACTTGGCTGCTATCTCAGCCTCCTATGGCCCTGCCCACTGGCTCAGAGCCCACTGACATGTCCCACTGCTCAGAGAGCCAGCGTAGCACTTGGGCTGATGCCTCCGTCTGTGACGTGTGGCGATGGGCAGAGATGGGGAACAGCTTCAGGGAGGGTCTGATCAAGGCCTCTGCAGGGGCCCTCCAGGGGTTCCGTCTCGAGAAGTGGAGGGGCTCTGGGTACTTCACTACTTCTGTTTACTTCTTTTTGGTGAAGAGCTGATTTGCAAGAAGTCAGGGGTTGGCGTCCTCTGGGGCTGTGGGAGGAGAGGTCTGGTCCTGCCTCAGGGACTCACTATCCAGTGGCAGATCTTGAGTGAATCTCACCATGTCTCTCCACACTCACCATCTGGGGAGCCAAACGGCACTTGACTTGACGGTTTAAAACCCAGGGCCTCATTGGGCAGGGAACAGCTGTTAGCAGTTGGCTTTTCTGGAGCGTCATCTTCAATAATGCAAGAATAATGTTCTGCGCCTTGGCCACAGCTGGGTTTCAGAGTGGCTGTTAAAAGTTCTCCTTTAGTTTGACCTGCTTGGTGGGGCCAGCGGGCTGTCTAGTACAGACATACAGGCTTGAGCGACATTGAGGTGCGGAGAGGTCTGCAGGGTTGGTCTGTCCTGTTGAAAAAGGCTGTGTGTGCATATGGGACAGGTTAGACTAAGCAGCCTTGGTCCCGGGGGGATTCTGGCCCCATAGCTGAGAGGTCGAACCTTGTCTCCTGCAGACCTGGCCTTCCGCTGTGGCCACCCCAGCAGGCCTCTCTCGTCCTCTGCCCTGGGGTGACCCTCTCTGAGTCCCTGTGTCCTGAGCCTTCGGGAGAGAAGGCATGGTTGTCACAGGATGGCGGTGAAGAGGTTGATTGCTTGGGGCTGGAGTCAGGGAGTGGCCAGATCTGATTGTGCGACAGCCGCCAGACACTCTCAGAATCAATAGGGCACCATGAGCTAGGCTGATGGGATTACCTGGCCTTTACAATCAAAATCCACCAGACCGAACATTTGACCTTCAGCTCCTCAGCTTCCTTTTGAGTCCCTATCTGATGGCTTTTGAAAATCCATCTGGCAGATACTACAATCCAAAGTTGCCCAGGGAAACAACACCCCCGTCTGTGGGATCTGCCACTTCCTGTGTAAATGGTCTGTCCTGTTGCCAGGGTTGCAGACACTGGGGGCTGTGGGCAGCCTGGTGCTGGCCTGTTCCTCACCCCAGGCCCTTTCTGGGACAGGAGGTGGTAGCTTCTAATTCATTTTTATCTGAAGTCTGCTCTCAAAAACGTGGTGTCCTTTTGATGTGAGAGTGTTTCGCATCATTTTCTATCAGAATCAGGCTTTGCTGATGGCAGCTTTGGCTCCAGATGTTGGAGTCCTCTGAGCAGGCAGGAGATTGCCTCTGTGAGTCTTCACCCTAGACAGCTTCTGAGCCCACAGAGGGTGAGCCACAGGGGCCAGGTGGGGAAACTCCCAGAACCTTTGCAGCTCGGCTGTGTCCTGCTCCCCTCCCTGGCAGAACTCTCAGGGTTGGGCTGTGACACACTGCCTGGCCTGGGGTTTGTAGGGAGGAGGTACTTACCCTACTGAGGGCCTGTCTGAACCTCAGGCTGTCCAGGAAGAGTGGAGAGCGTGAGCTTCTCCAGGGCTGAGGACCGGAGGCTCTGAGCACTTCTCTTTTGGGTATGGGAATTGGTGTGTGGTATGTCTTTGTGGTATGTGGATTGGGCTGTGGGTGTGGGGTGCATACATGTGTGTGGTGTGAGAGGGCGTAGGGTGCCTGTGTGTAGGAGTAGGTGGATGTGGTGTGTAGTGTGTGCATGTGGTTTTTCACGGCACGGTCTCCATCCCATGTACACGCCTCGTGTCACAAGGACTGAGGCTTCCTCAGCTTCTCCCCGGCTCCCTTCTTGATCAAGGTGGGTGTTTGGGGCCCTCTTTGGGGCTGAAAGAGTTTGGGGGTGTCAGATTCTGGGCAACTGCAGGCCTGTCCAGGCAAGTGTGGATCCACCACAGCCTGGTTTCTGTCTGCTCCCCTCAGGCAGACTGTCCCTTCTGCAGGCCTCTCTGGGAAGTACCGCCGAGGTGCTGGTGTCTTGTTCACAGGTGTGGTCTTTGGGATTAGGCACCTGCGTTGCTTTGGAGAAATCTACTTTTGTCTCTGCCAACCTAATGAAATCCCAAGATGGCTGCCGACTTCCAAGTGCCGCTGCTTTCTACGGGGAACAGAGCGGAAGGTGGCAGCGGCATTGTTTGTAGCTGAAGGCAAGCCCAGTGGCAGGAAATTGATGGTGACTGCTGTAATTTGGCCCTATTACTTATTCATTAACCACGTGCAGGTGGTCAGCCAGCCGGCAAGACCTGCTCTTTGAAATTTCATTTTCGAGAGGGCTCCTCGTGTCAACACTGTGTGGCATTCATTTAATATCTCCTATCCACTGGCAGCCCCCACGGGTGTTGGCGACCCCTGCAGAGAGAGCAGGCATCAGCTTTGACCCTGGGCTCTTGGAAAGACCTCCACTAACTCTTGCTGAAGCTGGCTGCTGGCAGAGCAAGCCTGTGCGGGGCTAGGATGCTGGCCCCTCTGGAGGACTTTTCCCTTCTGCCAGAGCCATCTCTTGCACTTGAATGGAGAGTATCTGGGTGATGTTGGCTCCCCTGCTGATCCATCGTATCCTGGTCCAGGTGTTTGTGTTTGGATCTCACATATGATGGGTCTGGCATGAGCTGCCCTTGCTGGACCCTAGACTCCAGATGGGGCAGGGTGTGGGCCCTCCAAGTGGCCACTCTGCCCTGGCCACCCTGGTCCTCAGCAGGTTCATAGCCGCCCAGGGACCTCCCCATCAGCTCTGCAGGGCTCGTGTGGACACGCCACTTCTTTTTTCTGTCAGTCCTGCCAATCATGACTGCCAGGCCTTTGGTGGCTGGCTTGACTTGGGAGTCTGGCACGCATGTTCCTTAGGGTGACATTTAAATGATTTTTTTTTTTTTTACCATAATTAGCTCCCAAACATGAAAAATAAGTGCCATCCAAACTTAATTATCTTTGCCCTTTAAAAAAGAATGAAATGCACAGTGCCAGAAAAGATACTTGCAGTTTGTTTCAGGTTTTGTCTGCCGAATGGTTCTTCCTGTTGAGAACCAGACCTCCAGAGAGGGGGGTGCTTTTTGGCAGGAGCATGTTTCCTGGTGGCTTCCCTTGGCAAGACCGTTGGGGTGAGCTGGCAAGTTTTGGGCCCCTGACCCATCAGGGAGAGGAGGGGTGAGAGTATCAGGTGCCCACACTAATGGTTGAGTTGCCCCTCTGTCAGGAGGCATGGACGCTGGCCTCAGATCAGGTCCTCTGTACTTCCCCAATCTGTTGGCAGTTTGCGTTCCACGCCTGTCACATCTAGAGGTGATGAAATGACTAGGGCCAGAGGCAGGGACGTGCTGAGGGTGCATGTCATGGCGTCGGGGCAGTCAGAGTGGATGTGGTGATGTCCAGAGTGGATGTGGTGATGCATTTTGCTGATGGCGCTGCCTCTTGCTCTTCTGGCACCTGCTTTTGTGCTCAACTGTAGGGTCAGCTCAGGCCTGAGAGTGCCACTGCTCTGTGGCCAAGGGTCTGCAAGCTCCCTCAAGCTGTCTGCACAGTAAGTAAGCCCTACATCTGGGGCCTCCAGAGTCCAGGCGAGGTGCTGTCATCAATTCCTGCCCGGTAGCTGCTCAAGGCTGTGCTAATGGGGGTGTCAAACCTTGGCCATTTAGCTTGTGAGTCCTGTCTGGAACATAGAAGCTAATGTAACTGAATTGTGCAAATTTAATTAACGGCAAAAGCTTGATACCCAGCAATCATTTCAGAGAAGCCAAAAGGGAGAAAAAGCAAGGGGCATTCTGGGTTACACGGAGCAACTGATTGTAGTGATACAAGAGCCTCGTTGGCCCAGGTGGGTTTCCTCTCCAAGCCCTCCTCACCATGTGTGGCTGTGAGCTCCTACTGCTGATCCCTGTAGCCCTCTGTCCTGGTCCCATAGTCTAGACTTTCGGCTTAGGTGGAGAAGGAGTGGTTGAGCTTCAGGGAGAGGAATGAGATTTTGCTTCCTGACAGTGATGCCAGTTGTCAGTGTCACAGAGGCTGAGAGTGGTGCACAGGACGCTGATGCAGGAGCTCACTCTTCTAGGTCGTCACTTCCGAGTCCCAAAGTTCTCTTCCTTCCCTGTTTCCTCTGGGGCTCCCCAGGCACATTGTCCTTGGCACCCCCACCTCCCCTCTCATCTGATCTGCTGTTGGGCGCCCAGGAAGCACAACCGGAAAACCACCTGCTGTTTTTTTTGTCTGAGGCCTGTCGGGGATCCAGCACCTGGTGACTGTAGCGCTGTGCGACCATGGGCAGCCTGGGGAGGGGCCCGAGTGGGGGCAGATGCCCTGTGATGCCCAGGTGTGGGTTGGCATGGCGTGTACGTGCTTCCCTGACTTGGCTTTCAACGTCTCACCTGTTCAGTTCACGTTTCTTCCCCCCTCATGTAAGCTCTGTCATCAGTAATGACTTTGACTCATCTGCTGACCAAGAACCTGGGAGTGGTGGCTTGCTGGACCCAGGCTGGAGGTCTGCCTGGCACATCTGTAACCCAAGGGTCTGCCCTGAGGTGGGTGAGGGCCGCCCAACTTCGTCTGCTGTGCGTCTTCTCACCAGCTGATTTTTCAGGGATAATGAGTAGGCTTGAGTATTTCTCATCACATTGAGTAATATTGATATTGACTTCTTTAAAGTGTTAATTTTCAAACTTTCCTCTTAAGTTCCATCAAGGCCTGAGAGGCAGCTTGTTTTATGCCCCAAAGGGTGGGGCGCTCTGGCTGGCTACCCCAGGGGTGCCCTCTGGCAATGGCGAGGGATGACCAGGAGGTTTGTAGGCAACCGCTTGCTACAGGTGATCAGGGTCACACAGAAGTAGGGGTCGGTGGGGGTGTGGTTGCCAAGGGAGGCAGGTATGGTTCAGTGGTCACTCTGTGGCCCTGTGCCCTTTCCCCTCTGAGTCTGTGTCGGCACACCTGCCTGGTGCCTGGTGCTGGCTGTGACAGAGGTGGGCCTGGGCTTCATGGCCTAGGCTTGGAGGGCAAGAAGGTGGCCATGCTGAGCTGTTGCCAAGCCCTGACCTTAGTGTTCTTTTGTTTCCCTTTGAGGATCCATTCCAAAGAGCACTTCAAGGAGAAGTATGCCATGGATGACATCCAGTACGCAGATGAGGTGAGAAGCTGACTCTTTCCCTGAACACTTAGGGCTTCCAACAACACTTCCCCTCTTCTCCCACTGCCACAGCCTCGCCGGACATTGGGGGGCACCACCACCTGGCTGCCAGCCCCCTCAGGAATGCTCCTGTTTAGAAAGAGCAGAGAGGAAACATACACCTCAGACTTCACTGGGAAGCCATTTCTCTGCCTGGGCAAGGCCCTGACTCAGTAGGTGCAAGTGACTTGGGTTGTGGCCATTGAGATGTGCAAGAGAGGATGTCTCTGAGAAGTGGCTGTGCTCGCAATGGTGGTACATGGTCTGATCTAAGTCACCACTAAGCTTGACCTGGGAGGCCCCGCCCACAGACCCTGGTTGGCTGCAGATGCTGCTGTCAGAAAAGCCCAGGCTGCAAAAGGCTTGTGGGGGGTAGAGTTGGAAGTCCCTCGCCTTTAATCCATTTCCTAGTGTGGATGTCCAGCAGGCGTCATGTGGCCCAGGTAGATGTGTGACTATTCTCTTGGGGCTTTGAATCTGTCCCAGGTCTAGGCAGGCGACGGGACAGAAAGTTGGGTTGCCCCGACTTTCACTGCCTGTAGAGTAGGGCTGTGGCAGAACTGCGAGCACAGGGCCCCCATGGTCTGAGTGGCCAGTGCCCGAGGTCCCCGATATTGCAGCCATTGCCTGGTACCCAAGAGGCCTCTTTGCTTCGTCCCTGGGTGCTGCCACAGCTGCATGTTCTGTGCAGTTCAGTACTGGGTAGGATGCAAAATACCCAGAAGTCAATGCCTGCCACTGGGGTCCAGCCCAGACTTGGCAGCTGGGTGGGGCCCTCCCACAGCTACATTTCCCCAGACAGAGGCTGTATGTGGACACGGCTAAGAGCTGGGGCTGCGGTGCGGACGTGACTGGGGAGCCAGCCCTGGAGGCCAAGCAAGTCTCCCTTCCCCTGGGCAGGACACAGCCTGGTGGGGAGAATGACAACACTGGGTGAGAGGCAGGTTCTCAGGGATCCTGGCAGGCACACAGTACTATGAGGTACCAGTCTGTCTCCTCCTGGCATTGGCTGCCCACCCCAGCCTGCTCAGGGGCAGCAAGCTCACTTTGACCCTGGGTGGGCCAGCTTCAGTACCATGCTGTATACAGGCAGACCCAGCCCTGCCTCAGCTCAGCTGTCCTAAAATGCCACTCCCTCTCTCCGTCTTTACCCTACCTGGTCCTTCAAGGCCTTGCATCAGCCCCCTGCATCCACGACTGGCTTTGGTTCACACTGGTGCCCCTCTTCTTGCTCTTGGGACGAGCTGTGGACATTGTGGACATAGCCTGTGTTCTGATCTGCACCCTGCCTGCTATGACTGTTAAGTTTTTGTCTCGAAAGCCCAGTTCTTGTACCCCAGCTACTCTTCTTGCCCAGTCAGGGTACATGTGAGGCATCAGAGGTGGCTGAGACCCAGAGCTAAACTCAATAGCCCGGGCCAAGGTTCAGTGTGGGGGACAACTGCATGGACAAAAGGTCACTGCAGGGTGATGGTGCTTGGTCAGGGATCCCAGGAGGCCCCAGGAGGCCCCAGGAGGGCCTTTGTGAAGGAGTACCACTCACCTTTACAGAGTCACAGATGCCTGTTTCTGGGATACCTTCTGCCTGGGGGGGCTTCTTTCTTCTTTTTTTAGCGAATATAGTTATTTTTTTCTTATATGCATGTTTAATGCTTTACTTAGAAGGGTTTCTCTTTGATTAGCTTCCAGTCATAGGGTTTTTAGAATAATTTCTTCCAATTTCCCTTGAGACTCCCATTACGATGGATCTTTTTGTCCTCTGATTTCAATCCCAAGCTTTCGGGCGTGACTCATGGCATCTAAAGAGTCTATTAATACGCATGTGGCCTGCTGTATCGATCTCTTGGGTACAGGATCTAAAATAGAATGGACATTTATTTGCATGCCCATAACGAGGTCATCTGCCACTTACCTTGTATTTCTAAGTCTTGGCGCAGGAGGTACCCGCCCAACCTCAATTCTAATTTTGTTCCTGACCTCTCCTTCGACAGGTGTGTCCCCTACCCCATACACTGCATTTTGATATTATTACCCTTTCGGACCTTGACCCCTCAAGTCTCATCGATGGAGGGAGCAGCCTCGGGAGCAGCCTAGGGTGGGCTTCATCTCAGGACTCTGCAGGACAGGCACCTTCCTCTGCCTGGGACTCAGATGCTGAGTCAGAGGCATCTCTGGACCACGGCCGCCCCAGCCCCTGTCTGGCATTTGTGTTTTTATAACTGGGGCATTATTCAACTCCATTTATACTGTGTTTTCTGGGGGAAAGGAAGGAGGACTGGGCTCCAGATGCAGTAAAAATAGAGAAAGTCTTGAATGTCGGAACAGGGAAGTCCTCAGTGAGAGTGTAAATGACAGCCCTACAGACCAGCTCATTCTTCATCTTTATTTATAAAGCAGAATCTTAAATAAGGTGTCCGTGTTCAGAGGACAGCTTCTCTTTAGGGTTTAGGAGTATTCTGGGGCACCCCATCATCAACACTGCCATTGCTGATCAGTTTTGTTATTACTGTTACTGCTGCTGTTCTTACTGGAAATGAGGTCTCGTGTCCACAGTAGGACAGGTGCTTCACCATGGGGCAGCTCCTGTGGGCTCCGGTAACATCGATGGCTCACACAGATCCCCTTGTCCTCCCGCCCTGTCCTGTGATGAGCCACAGCTCCCACGCTACTCGCAGATGAGGCCGAGGCTCACAGGTGAGGGGCCGCGTCCATGGTCCCACAGCTGGAGGGCAGCAGCATTGGGATGCCAACCCCAGGCCCTTCGGACCCCAGAGTCCTGCCCTCTAGCCCTTGCTTGCTCATCAGAAATGAGGGTGGAGGTGACACAGGCTCCTTGTGCCTTTGATGTTCTGTGGCTTGAAAGGGAGCTTCCAAGAAAATGCAATCTGTTGGACCAAGTCCCTGGGCCGGGAGGTGTTTCCAGGTTGCTAGAGGTACCCATCATGGAAGGTGAGGAAGCAGACCAGTTCTATGATATGCCCTGCCCCGTCTAACTTGGGGCAACCTCAGCTGTCTGCAACAGATCACAGCAGTGGACACTTGTCTCCTCTACAAGAAGATGGGAACCCCCTCCCACGGGCCATGGACGGTCACTTGCTATCACACATAATGTGTAGGTGTCTGATGTAGCAAACCTGGCTTTCTAATTTCCTTCTTTTCAGTAGATGATCTTACGTTTAATTATTGAGAAGGCAGTTCCCCTGGGAAGGGCCACTCGGGAGAATCTTGAGCAGTGCTCTGAGCTATTGCTGTGGGGGCCCGTGCAAAGGCTGGCAGGCGTAGTTGGCTGAAAGGGGTGAGGTGGAAGGTGCATTTGCACGCTTGCCCTCCTTCATGGTGCCGGGCGGATGTCAGAAAGCGGTGGGGTCAGCGGCTCTGCTGCAGGCGGGACAGATGTGAGAGAAACAGCTGCGGCAGCATGGGACCGATACTGCTGCCTCTGTGTGTGGACAGGCGCCAGGAGTGCTGAGGTCAGCAGGGGCAACCATGCCATGGGGCTGCTGGCCCAGGGCCGCTGGCACTCTAGATTGTGAAGAGTAACTGCATCTCCAGATTGTTGGTGATGTTTCCTGATGTTTATGTTTTAGAAACAAATTCAAAATTTTGAAAGCGTTGCAGGCCACCCGTATATACTACTGTTTGAGGAGACTGCCATGAAGGATGGTTTATTTTCAAAAACTTCAGTGCTTGTGGGGTGAAGCCCAGCTCTCTGGAGCCATGCTGGCCTTATCAGCGCTGGTGAGGGCATGTCCAGCCCCTTTCTCTGGATCATCATCTCATAAAGAGTGGCCCTCGAGCCTGGTCTGGACCCTGGTAAGGAAGCGTAGGAGGCATCCGTGGGAAGCCTCGCATGGTCCCCAGTGGAGGAGCCATGTCCACAGGGCTCTGATGAATTCTGCATGAGCCTGCCTACCTCAATCTGCCAGACAGATCTGGCTGCCTGAGAAATCAATGCTGGACATGGCATGAAGCAGGGCAGGGGCATTTAACAGCTCGTGGATGTGAGAGGTCCCCAGTGGCCACCACTCCATGGAAACGAGGCCCTGGATTGACAGAGTTGTGCTGTTGTGTGTGTTGGGGCTGCATTTCGAGCCAGTGACACCCAGTGCGTTGTGTTCCCTTAATATTTGAGGCACGGAATCAGGGTGTGCTGATGAGCATAGAGCGCTAATGGGTCTCCGTGGGGAAGGGTGGATGGAGCTGCCAGGCCGGGAGAGGTTTTGCAACCGCAGAAGTAACCAGGGCCCACTCAGGCAGTTGTGATCAATAAAAGATGTTGCCCTGCCAGAACTAGCAGACGCACAGCCTGCTCTGCGTGTCGGGCCTCGGTCCGACTGAGCACCAGGCGGCACGGAGACGGCTGCTTTCTCCTCCATTATTCCTAACCAGCACGTCCTGAGAGTCGTTGCAGAGAGAAAAACCATCAGCCCACACATTTGTTATCCTGCCCCTCCCTCCCAAGGACAACGGCAGATACAATCCCCAAGTGCCTTCTTGCTTTCTGATTCTGCTGCTGTAATTGACGGAACCGTTCTGTGCTGATGAATGTAGACCCTTCACGTCAGCGTGACAATACACCCAGGGCCCCACGTGTGTGTCTCTGTGCCTTTTAATGAGCCTCCCCTTCCTCCAGGAGGGGCTGGGGGAGTGGAAGGAACTCAACCAAGGCTTTCATTTGTGCTACACTGTGGCCGAGGGACTCAGCCATTCTCAAGGCAGTTTGTCAATGTCGGAGGATCCAGGCGATCGCTGGTATGGATCTGGAGGAGTCACTTGGCTGTGAGCATCACAAACCGTGACAAAGTATGTGGCTTTTGATCCAGTGATTCAGTTGGGTCAAAATTGCTTTTTTTTTAAAAGACATTTTAAAAAATTTATTATTAAGGAAATAAAGCCTATGTACAAGGATGTTCATGACAGCATTATGTATAATAGCTAATCATTAGAAATAAATTTTTTTTTTTTTTTTTTTTGAGTTGGAGTCTCACTGTCGCCCACACTGGAGTGCAGTGGCCGCTCCCGGCCACTGCAGCCTCGACCTGCTGGGCTCCGGCGATCCTTCCGCCTCAGCCTTCCATGTAGCTGGAACTACAGGCGCGTGCTACCACGCCCGGCTGATTTTTTGATTTATTGTAGAGATGAGGTCTCGCCTGCCCAGGCGGGTCTCGAACCACGGGCTCAGGCAATCCACTCACCTCAGCCTCCCAAAGGCGCAGGATTACAGGCTGAGCCACCGAGCCCGGCTTGCATTAGAAATAATTTAAGTCCGTTGAGGGAGTATTGTACAGCCATAGGTTTGAATCCAGGCTTTGCTATTTTTTAACTGTGAACTCAGGCACAGTTCTCTGACCCATATGCCTTTCTCTTTTGCGAAATCTACACATTTGTAGTGCCATCTCTGTGGGTGGTTAAATGGGATGCTGTGTGTAAGATGACTGGCACAGTAATCAGCGACTCACAGGACATTTACTATCCCCAGCAGCAGTGAGTGTTAAAATTGCATGTTTGAAGAATACTTAATGACAGGAAATAAGTGAAGCCTGTAATTTCATATGATCCAAATGTCATTACAGTTCTGTTTTTATGTGCAAAACTAAAAAGTCTTTGGGGATGGATTGTACATGATTTTTATCTTTCTATAGTTCTCAGTATGTTTCAGGTTTTCTCTGGGAGCATCTCCGTATTAAAAACGGTGTGGTAGCTGAGGCATGGTGGCTCATGTCTGTAATCTCAGCACTCTGGGTGGCTGAGGCGGGAGGATTGCTTGAGTCCAGGAGTTTGAGGCCAGCCTAGGCAATAGCAAGACCTCATCTCCACAAAAAAATAAAAGTATTAGCCTGGTGTGGTGGTTTGCACCTATCGTCCCAGGCACTCAGGAGGCTGAAGTGGAAGGGTCACCTGAGCCCAGGAGGTTGAGGCTGCGGTGAGCCATGATCATGCATGCCACTGCACTCTAGCAAACTAAAAATGGTGTATGTACATCCATCAAAACTTATCAAAATGTCTACTTTAAGTATATGCAGTATAGAGTATGCCAGCGATCAGTCAATCAGGCTGTTAAACCAACACATCCTCCCTGCTCTCCCCAAGTCCGATGTGTAGAGTTAGGGCGGGTGTGTGGGGAGGAGCAGGGGCTGTGGAGCAGAGACTGTTCTTAGCCCTGGGGTAGGGGGCTCCGAGACGACTGGATCTGCAATAGGCAAGATGCAGGGCAGACTGAGGGGCGGGGTTGGAAGAGGGAGACATTGCTCCCAGTCGGGCGGTCGGCATCCTTGGGGTGCAGGTGTCATGGCGCTTTGTTGGGGGGATGGTGACTGTCCGTGGGGCAGTCGAGGAGGGGGTGAATCAGCCTCCCTGGTGTCTGGGGTCTTTCATCCGGAGTGCGGATTGATGAAATGCTGAGATGGGGAGGAAGCATTCCAGGGAGAGGTAAGAGCCCAAGCAGAGGTGTGGAGAAATGAGCTTGCGTGGCCTGCAGGCTCGAGGGCTTGCAGCTGGCCTATAGGGTGGGAGGCCCGGCTGGGCTGTGGTGGAGGGATGGGGGGCAGGGTGTGGCATGGGGCTGGGGACGCTAACTCCCCTGGGTCTAGGAGATGGATGGAGGGCAAGGAGGGAGGCGTCTGCCCTGGAGACAGGAGGCTGGGAAGGCCAGTGCCTAAGGGGTTGCCAGAGACAGGTCTTTGAGAAAGGACTTGGCAGATAGGCAGAGGTGCTGGCCTTGGAGGGTGGGCAGGTCAGGCTGTTTGGAGCCAGGGATCTATGTGGTGCCTGGAGGCAGCGTGGCATGGTGGAAAGCGTGCCAGGTCTAAATTTTATCTTCTCTGTCACTCACTTGATAACTGTGACTTTCAGAAGTGCTTCGGCCTCTGCTAGCCTGGGTTTCCTCACCTGCAGCATGAGGACAACAGCAGCACCAGCCGTTGCAGGATCTGCTCAATACATGTGTGCTATCATATCATTCCCGTCAGACTTCTCCATGGTTCCTCTAAAGTGGGTTTTTCTTTCTGACCTTCCAGATTGCCAGTGTCCTGACATCACAGAAGCCCTCTGTCCTCCTCACTTTGGTAAGTGCCTAGTGTCCAGAAGCCAGGCAGTGTTTGGCACGGGGAGGGGTTTCAGGGAGCTGCCTGCGCCTGCAGAGGACTGTAGGGGAGGATTCGGAAATGGAGGGAAACTGATAGTAGTGACACCTGTTCACTCCGAACAGCTGACCCTGTCCAGGACCATATCCTCGAGTTTCCCTGGGAATGTGTTGTGCCTGTCATGAGGCTGTGGTGGACAAGACACCCCACCCACTCCAAGGGTTCAAATCCTGCTGGAAGATGTATTTGTGTTGGGCTGAACTTACGGGATTTGTAGATGTGTAAAGTCAGTTCACTCCCTTGTGTCTCCTCTGTTAATAGAATTTGAGAAACACGCCCTTGGTGTCTGCCCTCAAGGTAGCTGGGATGTAGGGTGCAGTGACTGACTGAGGCCTGGGGTAGGATATGGGTACAAGGTGGGCTCCTGGTGCCCTGGCAAGGATCTGTGGGCACTTGGGCTGTGGAGTACCCCTAGGAGTTCTCTGGTATATCTCAGAGAGGAAGGATGCTTTATTGTGCTTCTTTGACCTTGGGAATTTCGTATAGGAAGCACATCCAACAACCCTTCTTCCTCCCAGAGTGACCCTTCTCTCTTTTGTTAATTGATTTTTACAGAAATAGTTTTTGTTGGTTATTTCTTTGAGCATTTGGTCTCTTTTTTCTGTTTTGCTGTTTTGATGGCTAAGAGGGAAGGTTATGTTAGATGATTGTGGTCATAGATGGTCAAGTGTTTTATTTGGGTATACAAACAGACATTGACCTCAAGTGCTGGGGAAAGAAGTGGCGATTTAAAGTGCCTGGCCTCTCTGAGGATGGCACTTATTTTTCTGAATCCCTTGTTTGTCTTCACTCCTGTCTAAGTTGCATCTGGAGTCGCCTTACAATTAAGGAAAGAGAGGAATGTAACCGAGTTTCATTACAGTCCTGCCCGAGTCAGGTCCTCCCCAGAAGGGCTGAATTGACAGGACTCTTGGACCTTGTACAGTCAGAAGGGAGCGAGTACGTAAGAGATGAGGTCCTGGCAGGGATTTGTGGCTCAGCCTGTAATCCCAGCACTTTGGGAGGCTGAGGCAAGTGGATTGCCTGAGCCCGCTGTTTGAGACCAGCCTGGGCAACTTGGCGAGACCTCATCTCTACAATCAGTCAAAAATTAGCTGGGCGTGGTAGCGTGCACCTGTAGTTCCGGCTACTTGGAAGGCTGAGTTGGAAGGATCACTGGAGCCTAGCAAGTCG